TGAGCAATCCTGAGGATTTGGACCGGCGTCATCGAATGGAACACTTGGGACTGGCGGARGAAAGCCATCTCATTCGCGCATCTAAACTAAATCTAGCCCTTTCATTCTTCGTTTCTCATCTTTACTATTACGCAAAAGCCTTCACRGAATACATTCTTGGACCGACGCGTACGAACCGTTGGACACCTCTCGCTTTGGCGACCAAGCATGGGTTACGTTGGACAATCCATCAGGTAATGTAAAACTTGTTTATAACCAGTATGATCTTAAACTCAGTAATGATGCGTGATTGAAGGTGGATATGGACGCCAGTCCCTCGTGCGCATCGCATCGTATTTCTCAAACAATATTCTGGTGCCTCAATGTGGTCACAACAGGGCTTTTTCATTGGGTCGAGTATRCAGAGCCTACGATTTGCTTTTTTGCAAATTTAAAACCTCGTTTTCAGCCGGAGTACTAAAAGAAGGGTTAGGTGTTTCACCTATAAGTACTTATTGCCTTTTTTTTTTCTTTCAGGACAATCCATCTCATCCAGGTCCCCCAGAACCCTTTGCCAGCATGCAAACAGCAGTAACAAGAACTCGCAGAGGTGATCCAGAGACAGTTTACGGAGAAGAATACCGAATACCTATTTATGACGCTCTCAAAGCATATACCATCAACGCTGCTTGGCAGATCCATAAGGACAAAGAACTTGGTAGTCTGACTGTTGGTAAACGAGCTGATCTGGTCGTTCTCAGTGATAACCCATTAAAAGTAGATCCATTTAAGCTTGTAGATATTAAAGTCTTGGATACGTACTTAGATGGACGCAGTAACGGACTGACTGCAAGAAAGGAATCAAGAAAGGATGGGAAACTGATTTATTCATACGCCTAGAGAAACGTCGACGTTCCCAGGTCCTATCTCTGTCCGCCATCTTGAAAAAAGCGACCAGAGAAGCCCTGGGATTGAGGTTGACGTTTARAGAAACCTTTTTTCACGAATCATCACTTTTTAACTAGATTCCAGTAAAAATGGAACATGATGAAATTTAGGCATTGAATGGTTGAATTTCATGTACTCACTGAGTGAGAAATTAGAAATTAGAAATAGAAAGTTATCTTTACGAAATGAAGCAAAATGTTTATTAGAAAATAGGAATTATAATTAAATAATTGAAATTTCTTGAAAAAAACTTTACAACAATTCTCTAGTCAAAATAAATATGTAACAATAAAAAAAAATGCATTGAAAAATGATATACAATAAAATTTGTACCCATTATCTTTGGGTCGATTATATTTAGTAAAAAGAGTTATCAAAATGTCTATTCAATTCTATTAAAACTATTTTACAATATCAGCATTGTCAATGTCATTACTTAATTGTTATAAAGTTCTGGTTCCTATCTCATGCACAAAACAGCTGACCTCACTAGGTTTACAGATAATTTAGCTCTAAAGCCAGCGTATTACGTTATTGTAGTGAAGCTGTTTCTTCGTGGTTAGCTGTGAGGCAAGTTCTGATATGAAACGTTCAGCTTCCTTCCCCCTACCACCATATGAATACAAGTGGTGTGAATGTACCATCCCGGGGGGGTGGGGGGGGGGACTCACTAATATCAAAGGGCGGGGGTCCTCGGCGGAAATTATGAAAATGACCCCTAAGAGGGACCTGTATTTGGAGATGATGGGCGTGGCCGTGCTGAAATTTCATCCCTAAAAGGGACCAATAATCTCGTCTATTAAGGAGTGTTAAGTGACAAGACGTGAAATTGATTAAAATAAAAYCAATCATSTWATTAGCAGCTGYGGTTTTTGATCTCATAATGACGGCTTAGGGACGTCATATACCCTAAAAGGGACCCCAAAACTCAGTTGCAGTTGGTGAGAATTCTCGTCATTATCACCCTAAGCGGGACCAAAATACCGATTTCAAACCCTAAAAGGGACGTCGAGGACCCCCGCCTTTTGATATTAGGGAGTGCCCCCCCTCCCGGGTGTACCATATTCTACTTCGACGGACTTTTATACTCACTCGTTTTTTCTCGTTCTCATTGCTTGTAAATGTAGTGTTCAGTTTCTGGTTAAGGTGGCTCTTTGCAAATGGGTTAAAAACCCTTACACCAAAGAATGCTCGTTGCCCCCTTTGCCAAAAAGGCGCCTCTAGCACTAACATCTAGTAGTCGGGTTTCATCTGTCACTTGGTGCTGCAGGGAAGAACTTCATCATTGCAGTCATTGAGTAGGTCGCCAAACAGATCCTTGACATCGTCAATAATTAAATATGAACTATGTAATAATTTAAGTATAGTTTAAAACACGTGAGCCGTGAAACGGCTGAAAAATTAGCCGTTAGTCGTGAAAATGCGAAAAAATTAGCCGTGAGGAGTGAATATTTCATTTGTTAGCGTGATTCAGTTTTGTCCCTCAGAAGGACAGTCAACTCCAGGCGCGCGCTTGTAATTTTTTTGGTAAATTTAAAAAATAAAAGCTTTCAGTGGAGATTTTTCAAAAATTATATGTCCGGGAGTCAAAATAATTCACCAATGGCACGTAGATTTTTCACGTCCCTGGACGGACTCCCGGATACGGAATGTCACGGAAAAATTATATGTCCGGGAGTCAAAATCACAGTAAAGTGTAAATCCAGTCTAATCAAAGATACTTTGCTGTATTTAGGTGTAGATAATCTTCCTTTTGATCAAATTCAGTCGACAATTTGAAGCTTCTTCGCCGCTCGGCATAGTATACAATCGACTTGGCACTTAGATTTTTCACGTCTCTGGACGAACTCCCGGACAGAATGTCACAAAAAAATTATATGTCCGGGAGTCAAAATCACAGTAAAATGTAAATCCAGTCTAATCAAAGATACGTTACTGTATTTAGGTGTAGATAGTCTTCCTTTTGACCAAATTCAGTCGACAATTTGAAGCTTCTTCGCCGCTCGGCATAGTATACAATCGACTTGGCACTTAGATTTTTCACGTCTCTGTTGAATCCCGGCAAATCTTTTGCAACAACTATTATCGGTCTTAAGAATTTCAAGAGATTTTTGTCGTGTTTTTTATCCGAATACTAGTAATGCCTGTCTGATATAAGAACTGTAAAACTAATTTAAAATGTGATGATTTGGACAACAATAACAACAATTGAACAGCTTGGTCAAAAGCCGTCACATTACACCGAAATCGGTATTCGGCCGCAAACCGCCACTCAGCACCCATCCCACCCCACCCCAACCCCGTCAAATAATAAGTCTACTGAAGAATGATTATGCAAAACCTGTATCGTTTACTAATTCCTGAGCTGAGCTCTGATTGGCTCACTACTCCCTTAGGATTTTGGTGACGTCATATATTAGCATAGATCTTTCACCGAATAGACTACCCCAATTAGATATTAGATATCTATAAGTGTCTTCATAGTACGATGGTCTAAGAGGGTAGCTAAAGGTATGCTCTAGTGGGCGGCTACCCCCTCACTCCCTGGCCTTTTGGTTAAGACTAAGTTTTATGTTCACTCGGGATAGCGTGGAAGGGCCGAAATCTCTAACCGTAACGTAAGCCGATTCGCCGCCTCAGCTTCATAGAATGTCTCGGGGGAATCGTCCCATCTTTTTATTTTTTTATTTTTATTATTTCTTATGTATTCCGGGGGGTGCATCTTCTCCTGAAGTGAAASTYCTGAGTTCGAGTCCTGCTGCTGGAATTTCTCTTTTTTGCTTGCGTATTGTTTCTTTTGCGTTTGCTTCTAGTTTTTTTTATTCTTTCTTTTTTGCTCTTTTTCGTTTAGTCTTTTTATTTGCTGTTTTCACTTCGTTTTCTTTTTTCTAGTGATTTTCTCTTTTCAGCTTAAAGGACTCGCAAGGAACGCCTTCTACAAGTGGATGGTTACGGTTCCGTCACTCAATAGGTAACGAGAGGCCCCATCATGCCTTTCGTCACAAAAATGATAAAAAATGACTTTTTAGATGTCAAGGTCACGTTCATTTATTCGTGGAAGTATTCATCAAGGTAATGAACGTTTTAATGACGTTTCAAGGGGAAAACAGTGTTCTTTTATGTGTTCGTAGTTTCGCAATTGGACTCCTTGGAATTCGCGAAACAGGTAGCTGCATCACGAGGCACGACTAAAAATTTGGATTTTTCACGCCTCACGGCTAATGTTTTTCTCATTTTCACGACTCACGGCTAATTTTTTAGCCGTTCCACGGTTAACACCATTGAGGCGCTCTTATATTATAGTTTTGATTTCCGTTTTGATCGCGGGCATTCATGCAAGTTACATGTGCGAGCGACACACCTTCTTTATGATGTGACAACTGTCTCAATATATAGACTAAGCACAGTCTAATAAATGTAGTTTATCCCCCCCCTGTCCAGTATTTACTGTGTAATCATATATGATTGAATAGCACAGGAGTTRTACGGAACAAAAGTTGACAGACAACTACATAAGTAGCAATGAACCAGGGGGAGGTCGGGCAATTTATACAAGAGCACGCTATTTGTAAAGATTCGATTTACTGTTGCACCGATCGCGCTCGAAAACAGCAAGCATTGTACATCAGATTGCATTCTTTTCTGCTTTCAAACATGATATGTTT